TTTGTTGTACCACCGTGAATGGTGGTTTTATCTATGTATTTTTGTCTTGTTTTGTTTTGGGGTTGGATATTGAGTGGGGTGGGGATTGGTTTTGTTTGGGCATAATTGTTTTTGGTTGTTTTGTTTTTCTATTTTGTAAATGGAGGTTAGTATGAGGCTTGGGATTGCTACCGTGGAGGGGTGAGGGAGGTATGGCGGTGGGGGCAGATGTTATAGGCGAAGGGGATCGAGATACGGATATGCTCGTACCCCTTCCAATCTGCGCCCCATCCCAAGAGACGAGGGTAGGGTGAGCAAGGATTACTCACCTCCTTCACTGGTGTTGTGCAATGCCAGGTCTATAGGCAACAAAACCGCCACCCTGCGAGATTTCTTTACCTTGCAGGGGGTCGACCTGGCTTGTGTGACGGAGACCTGGGTGCGTGAAGGGGTAACTGTTACCTTACGAGAGATGGCGCCCCCGGGTTTCTCCGTCCTCCACCAGTCACGGACTGTGGGCCAGGGGGGAGGGGTGGCAGTATTAATCCGGGAAGATTGTTCTTTCAGGGCTCTACCATCGCCATCGATCCCCGGCATTGAATGTGTTGGCCTAGTGTGGGGCTCCGAGGAGAGCTTGGCTGTCTGGCTGGTGTATCGGCCACCTAGCGCACCAGCAGCCACCCTGTCAGGCCTGCTGGAGGCGGTGGCCGGCTGGGCCTTGGAGTTCCCTAACCTATTGGTATTGGGAGACTTCAACTTCCATGCTGATGCCACTCCCTCCTCACAGGCTCTGGACCTGGTGTCTTCCATGGCGACACTAGGGCTCTCCCAGTTTGTTTCGGGCCCCACACATCAAGCAGGTCACACGCTGGATTTGATCTTTGGCGCCGGTATAGATGTGATCATGTCTCCTTCGATGAAGGTGCCATGGTCTGATCACTACGCTCTGAAAGCCAGGATTGACTTTCCACCCCCACCCTGCTTAGGTGGCGAGCCGATTTGGGCTCGCCCGCAGAGGCTGATGGACCCTGATAGATTCCGTCAAGCCTTGCGGGACCTTGCTCCTCCTGGCGACGCATTGACTGAGCTTGTTGAGGGCTGGAATACCCAGCTCCTGGCAGCCATCGATGAGATCGCACCTAAGCGCTCTCTGCGACCCCGCAGAAACCGGGCTCCCTGGTTTACCGAGGAGCTTCAGAAAATGAAGCGGGACCTCAGACGGCTAGAGCGAGTATGGCGGGGTGCCCGTGACGGAGCCTCAAGAACATCTTATAGGGTTTTTATGAAAATCTATGAGATGGCAGTGAAGGCCGCTAAGAAGTCTTACTTCTCGGCCTCCATTGCATCCGCTAACTCTCGCCTGGCGCAATTATTTAGTATAATTCGGTCTTTAACGTCCCTTGAAGGACAGCCAAATTTAAATAACAATCTGACACACAGCTGTGAGGCATTTGCGAGTTTTTTTGCGGAGAAGGTCCTGTTGCTCCGCCATGACCTCCCTGCCAATTTGGATACAATAAAGGAACTGGAGGCCCCTCGACTGTCCTTGGGTCCTGTATTGGACCACTTTGACCAGATATCTCCAGCCGATGTAGACAGATTCCTCCAAGCTGGAAAGCCCACCACCTGTCCTCTTGACCCGTGCCCATCATGGCTGATTAGAGCGTGTCCAGACGAGGTGCAGGCCCCCCTGGGGGATATCATCAATTTGTCCCTTGGCACCGGGATATTCCCAGGGGAACTGAAGGAGGCGGTGGTGCGTCCGCTCTTAAAGAAAACATCATTAGATCCCTTAGTTCTATCCAATTACCGCCCGGTCTCGAATCTTCCATTCCTGGGTAAGGTGATTGAGAGAGCGGTTGCTGAACAGCTTGGCAGGTTTCTGGATGAAACATCTGCTATGGATCCATTCCAGTCCGGCTTCCGCGCTGGTCATGGGACCGAGACGGCTCTGGTCGCCCTAACAGATGATCTCCGCAGGCAGCTGGATAGAGGCGGGTCGGGGCTGCTGATTCTTCTAGATCTGTCAGCAGCCTTTGACATGGTCGATCACGAACTCCTGGACCACCGCCTTGCCGACGTGGGGATCCAGGGCACAGTCCTTCAATGGCTGCGCTCGTTTCTCTCTGGTCGGGGACAGAGGGTGGCGCTTGGGGGGGAATTGTCATTGCGCCACTCCTTGGTGTGTGGAGTGCCTCAGGGTGCGATTCTCTCCCCGATGCTTTTTAACATCTTTATGCGCCCCCTCGCCCAGCTTGTCCGGAGTTTTGGGCTGGGTTGCCATCAGTATGCTGATGATACCCAACTCTATCTGTTGATGGATGGCCATCCTGACTCGGCCCCAGACACACTGACCAGATGTCTGGAAGCTGTGGCTGGATGGTTACGTGGGAGCCGGTTGAAGTTAAATCCTTCGAAGACAGAGGTCCTCTGGCTGGGGCGGGACGATATGGGATCGAGGGGGCAACTCCCATCTCTTGCGGGGGTGCAATTAGTGCCAGCACCGTCTGTTAAGAGTTTGGGTGTAATCTTCGATACCTCCCTCTCTATGGAGGCTCAGATTACAGCTATAACAAAGGCGGCATTTTTTCAAGCTAAGCAGTTGGCCCCTTATCTCTCTCGCCCTGACCTAGCCACTGTGATCCATGCGGCGGTCACCTCCAGACTGGATTATTGTAACTCGCTGTACGTGGGGCTGCCCTTGAGACTGACCCAGAAACTCCAGCGGGTGCAGAATGCCGCGGCGAGACTCCTTATGGGGTCTTCGCTGCGAGATCACATTCATCCGGTACTATACCAGGTGCACTGGCTCCCGGTGGAGTACAGGATCAGGTTTAAGGTGCTGGTTTTAACCTTTAAAGCCCTATACGGCCTAGGACCCTCGTACCTACGGGACCGCCTCTCCTGGTATGCCCCACAGAGAAACCTACGGTCTGCAAATAATAACATCCTCAAGGTCCCAGGCGTCAGAGAGGTTAGGCTGGCCTCAACTAGAGCCAGGGCCTTCTCGGCTGCGGCTCCAATCTGGTGGAATGCTCTGTCATAAGAGACTAGGGCCCTGCGGGACCTGACATCTTTCCGCAGGGCCTGCAAGACAGAGTTATTCCACCAGGCCTTTGGTCAGGGCGCAGCCTGACTCCCTCCTCTGGCAACCTGCACAGAATTTTGCTTAATCGGTTGCCATCAATTTGCTTTTAATTTAATTTTTATAATGAAATATTTTTAGAATGTGTGATTATTTGACTGTTTGATTATTTGATTGTTGTTAGCCGCCCTGAGCCCAGCTTCGGCTGGGGAGGGCGGGATATAAATAAAAATTATTATTATTATTATTATTATTATTATTATTATTATTTTATTACTTGAAGTTGCATAAGTTAAAGGCATGCATGATGCAAACTGCACTGCAACATGCAACCTGAACCAGGGCTCCTCTCATAATGGATCACCTGCACATTCAGAGCACCCACAGAGGTGAATGATGAAGAATGCCTTAGGTTCTTTTTAAAAATATATTGTTTTAGCATGTTTAATCACAGAGCCCCTTCACAGGACTCTCAGCTGCCCACCCTTAGCTTTCACCTAGATGCCTGTTCTTTGCTGAGGTGGCTGAGCAGAGCCTTTTCTGCTGCTCCTCCCAGACTCTGCAACTCCCTGTGCAGGGAAACCTACTTTGCTCCCTTCACACTGGCTGTCTGCAAAGTTGTTCTATTCAGTCAGGGCTTTGGCCTTTAAAGCTCAGCTTTACCACATGACCTGGCCTATGATGCTCTGGTGGGGCAGGGTGTAACGTGGTCTTATGATATCTTATTGCTTCTGTCACTGAGATTTAACAAAGGCTCTTCAGCCAGATGAAATTAAGCCTTTTAGTTTTTAATTTCAAATGCAAAGAAGCTTGCAAATAAGCTATTACCATTTCCAGAGCTTGTGTGAAATAAGAACCCATCAAACAAAAGAAAGACATTTCCAGCATCTGCTTGATTATTTCTCTCAGTCTTTGAGTTTTTCTCTGCTAAGCTGTCACAAACAAACTTGAAGGCTGCATTATCAAGTAATTCGCTTGCCAGAGCAAGCAAGATCTGTCCTTTGCTCTTCTTCGGGGGCAGGACACTCCTCTCCACTACTCCACGGAATAGGTCTAGTGAAAATCCCTATCAGAGTTTGGTGCATTCCCATTAAAAATATAATAATGCATGTTACTAGCATGCAAAGAAGCACTCCATGCAGTGAGCAAAGTTGACACGACTTGGCACCAGTGCAGCCTCTAAATTGTACCTGAAGCAAAATCTTGAGGCACATGTGGACTTTTCCACTCAAGAGAAACATTGTTATGTACTGAGTTGAATAGGATCCAAAATGCAGCAGTCTGCAACCTGCTTGGCCTACAGGAGAATCCCGGAATTAGCCAATCACATGGGGCCCATTCTGTAAATAATGTATATAAAGCAGACATTCTGGGGGAACCTCCATTCCTCCTCACCACTCTGAGCTGAATAAAGAGCATGAAATCCACTCTCGACTCCGAGTATATTTCACTGGCAACAAAGGTGGGATCCCACTGAGTTGACCGCCACACACAGCACCACAGCACCACCACCTGCCACACCACTGCCTCGCACCATGTACCCAGACTTCAGCTCCAGACCACAAGGAACTCAGAATGGCAACCGACAGCAGCTTCTCACCGTTCAACCCAGCATTATTGAGACTGGGAAGTGTACGCCTCCCATTTCACCTTCCTCCTAGAAGCCAAAGGGGTCACCAATGAAGAAGACGCCAAGAAGAGGGCAATATTCTTCAGCATCTGCTGAGAGGAGATGTTCGAAATCGCCCAGGCTCTCCTTGCACCTGAAGATGTCGCTACTGTTCTTTATAAAACAATAATGGAATGGCTGAAGGGGCACTTCTCGCCGTAGCCCTCGGTGGTGTCTCGTCAAAATGCCTTCTATGCAAAGTGGCAAGCCCCTGGGGAAACCATAACTGGGTTTGTGACCTCCCTCCGCCAAGCCGCCCGGGCCCAGGACCCACCTGCAACTTCTCAGAGTTGGAGAACATGCTTCATGACCACCTCGTCGGTGGCCTGAAGGATGAGAAGCTGCAACGACGCCACTACGCCAAGAAGGACCTAACGTTCCAGGTCGCTCTGGAGGAGGCCCTAGCAACTGAAGCTGCCGAGAGGTTGACGCAAGAAGCACGGCAGAGCCTGCCGCCCCAACCGAGGGTCCATCATGAAGACCTCGCCAACAACTCAGGATCCGACAGGGAGGATGTGCACCAAGTTCAGCGACGCACTCAAGCAGCGCACAGACCACAGCTGCCTCAACGAGAAGGAGGGAACTACGCAAGCTGCGGGGAGAGTCAAGAGAGGAGGACCTGCTGTTTCCACAACGTAGAGTGCAGGCAGTGCAGAAAATTGGGACACATTGCCCAGGTGTGTCGGGCTCGGCCCACCCGACACCAGGCATCGGATGACCGATCCAAGAGCCCTAGGTCCCAGGGCCCAACGTACCAAGGCAACTCGACGGAGATCACGGACTGCCAGGTATACCAGTTGCCCCACCCCAACATAGAGAAAATTCATGCAGAGGTACAGAGAGCGGGGGCCCCATGCCACATGGAGCTTGACACGGGTTCAACTCTATCCAAAATCTCGGCAAGGACCTTAAGGAAACTGTGCCTTAGTGGGGGTTCCAGACTCAGGCCAGCCCCATTCACCCTTCGGGACTTCCAGAAACGTAAGGTCCCCACAATGGCGGTGGGGACCTTCAGGGTGCAATATCAAGGGCAGGCGCGGCCACTGGACTTGCTTGTGGTCAAGGGCCCCTACATTAGCTTACTGGGATTGCCATGGTTTGGACCACTGGGGCTAGCCGTCACCGGGGTGAACCGCACTAGCTTACAAATGGATGTGGACGCCATATGCAAGGAATTTCCAGGGGTTTTCGATGGGAAATTGGGACAGTATACAGCCCCCCCCCCATTGCCCTACAGCTTGACCCCACAGTACGACCTGTCAGGCTCAAGGCCCGCTGGGTCCCGTTCACCCTGAAACTCTGTATAGACGAGGAATTGGACCAGCTTGTGGAGCAAGGAGTGCTGGAGCCTGTGCCTAATGCCCCCGGAAAACCCCGATCATCACACCCGTCAAGCCTAATGGTTCATTCCGCATCTGCGCAGACTACAAATGTACCATAAACAAGGCCTTCACAGCCCACACATACCCAGTGCCAGTGGTCAGCCATGTCATCACCACCCTGGCTGGGTAAAAAAAAATTGGCAAGCTAGACTTGGCCCAAGCCTATCAACAGCTGCTGGTGGATGAGGCCACAGCAGAGGCACAGACGAGTGTGACGCACAGAGGAGCGTTCAAGGTAAAGCGGCTGCAATTCGGTGTCAGCGTGGCACCAGGCATATTCCAGAATCTAATGGACTCTCTCCTTAAAGGGATTCCTGGCGTCACCCCCTTCTTCGATGATGTGTTGATTGCTGGGCCCATGCCAGAGGAGTTTGAGGACTGCCTCCGCACTGTTCTGCACCGTTTCCAGACGGAGGGTCTCAAGGTGAAATGGGAAAAGTGTCTACAAGGAGTGTTTCAGGTGGACTTTCTGGGATTCATGGTGGACGCAGAAGGGGTCCACCCGACTGGGGACAAGGTACGGGCCATTTGTGATGCCCCAGCACCCAAGGGCAAGACTGAACTTCAGGCCTTCTTGGGACTATTGAACTTTTACCATGCCTTCCTCCCCCATAAGGAAGGTAGCGGAGCCCCTACACAGACTCCTGGACAAGCAGGCCCCTTTGGTGTGGGGCCAGCCCCAGGAGGCCACATTCCAGGCAATCAAGGACTTGCTCATCTCAAACTCAGTCTTGGCACACTTCAACGAGAGGCTGCCGGTGGTGGTAGCATGCGATGCCTCGCCCTATGGAATCAGCACTGTCCTGGGACACCAACTCCCGGATGGAAGAGAGGTGCCGGTAGCATACTTTTCCCAGACACTCGCCGCAGCCGAGCAGAACTACTCACAAATTGACAAGGAGGGTCTGGCAATTGTGAAGGGAGTAAAAAAAAAAATCCATGGTTTCTTGTACAGTGGTGCCTCGCAAGACGAAATTAATTCGTTCCGCAAGTTTTTTCTTCTTGCGAGTTTTTCGTCTTGCGATGCACGGTTTCCCATAGGAATGCATTGAAAATCAATTAATGCGTTTCTAGGGAAACCGACTTCATTTTTTTTTTTTTTTTATAAAATTTTTATTGGTTTTAGAAACTTTTTAAACAAAAAACAAACAAACACCAAAAATAACAAACATACACGTATAGTTTCAAACATATTTTCATAAACTTCTTTCCTTTGACTTCCCCATACCCCCCCTCTCTGCATCCCAGTGTCCAAAGTTCCACTAGCAACTCCCAATTGTTATTTTCCAATCTCTATCTTCTTAATTCTTTTTTAAGTTTCTAACCTTATATCCCTGTATCCCTTTATTTCTGGAAACCGCAACATTTTAGCATTCATTAAGTTTATAGTAGTCCTTAAGATAACTTTTAAATTTTCTCCATTCTTCTTCCACCGTCTCTTTTCGTTGGTCACGGATTCTGCCTGTCATCTCGGCCAATGTCATGTAGTCCATCACTTTCATCTGCCATTCTTCCAAAGTGGGTAGATCTTGGGTCTTCCAATACTTTGCGATGAGTATTCTTGCTGCTGTTGTAGCATACATAAAGAAAGTTCTATCCCTCTTTGTCACCAATTGGCCGACAATGCCCAAGAGAAAGGCCTCTGGTTTTTTCGAGAAGGTACATTTGAGTACCTTTTTGATTTCATTATAGATCATTTCCCAGAAGGCCTTAATCTTCGGGCATGTCCACCAAAGGTGGTAGAAGGTACCTTCAGTCTCTTTACACTTCCAACATTTGTTATCGGGCAGATGATAAATTTTTGCCAGCTTGACTGGGGTCATGTACCACCTGTAAATCATTTTCATTATGTTTTCTCTTAAGGCATTACATGCCGTAAACTTAACACCGGTGGTCCATAACCTTTCCCAGTCAGCAAACATAATATTAAACCGACTTCAGACCAGGTCCGGGGACAGTCTTTCCCCCGACCTCTTCTGAAGGCTGGGGGGGGGACAAGGGCTTTTCTTCCCACCCCCAGCATTTTAAAAAACCCCGGGACAGCGGAGGGCTTCTCCGCTGTCCGGGGCGATTTAAAAGCCCCTGGGAAGGCAGGCAGGGGGGACAAAGACTTTTGTCCCCCGCCAGCCTTCAGAAGAGGTCCTGGACCTCTTCTGAAGGCTGGCGGGGGCGAAAGTCTTTGCTCCCCCCCGCCTGCCTTCAAAAGCTGTCCGGCCAAGGCTTCACAGACCTCTCCGCGAGCAGCGGCAGCGCTGCCGCTGCTGGCGGAGACTTGCCGGCATGCCGAAGCCTGCGCGCGCTGACATCAGCGCGCCCAGGCTTCGCAGACCTCTCCGCCAGCAGCGGGAACGTTCCCGCTGCTTGGGGAGAGTTGCCGGCATCCCGAAGCCTGCGAGCGCTGATCTCAGCGCGTCCAGGCTTCGCGGATCTCTCCCCAAGCAGCGGGAACGTTCCCGCTGCTTGGGGAGAGTTGCCGGCATCCCGAAGCCTGCGAGCGCTGATCTCAGCGCGTCCAGGCTTCGCGGATCTCTCCCCAAGCAGCGGGAACGTTCCCGCTGCTTGGGGAGAGTTGCCGGCATCCCGAAGCCTGCGAGCGCTGATCTCAGCGCGTCCAGGCTTCGCGGATCTCTCCACAAGCAGCGGGAACATTCCCGCTGCTTGGGGAGAGTTGCCGGCATCCCGAAGCCTGCGCGCGCTGATCTCAGCGCGCCCAGGCTTCGCGGATCTCTCCCCAAGCAGCGGGAACGTTCCCGCTGCTTGGGGAGAGTTGCCGGCATCCCGAAGCCTGCGCGCGCTGATCTCTGCGCGTCCAGGCTTCGCGGATCTCTCCACAAGCAGCGGGAACGTTCCCGCTGCTTGGGGAGAGTTGCCGGCATCCCGAAGCCTGCGAGCGCTGATCTCAGCGCGTCCAGGCTTCGCGGATCTCTCCACAAGCAGCGGGAACGTTCCCGCTGCTTGGGGAGAGTTGCCGGCATCCCGAAGCCTGCGAGCGCTGATCTCAGCGCGTCCAGGCTTCGCGGATCTCTCCACAAGCAGCGGGAACGTTCCCGCTGCTTGGGGAGAGTTGCCGGCATCCCGAAGCCTGCGCGCGCTGATCTCAGCGCGTCCAGGCTTCGCGGATCTCTCCCCAAGCAGCGGGAACGTTCCCGCCGCTTGGGGAGAGTTGCCAGCATCCCGAAGCCTGCGAGCGCTGATCTCAGCGCGTCCAGGCTTCGCGGATCTCTCCCCAAGCAGCGGGAACGTTCCCGCTGCTTGGGGAGAGTTGCCGGCATCCCGAAGCCTGCGAGCGCTGATCTCAGCGTGTCCAGGCTTCGCGGATCTCTCCACAAGCAGCGGGAACGTTCCCGCTGCTTGGGGAGAGTTGCCGGCATCCCGAAGCCTGCGAGCGCTGATCTCAGCGCGTCCAGGCTTCGCGGATCTCTCCACAAGCAGCGGGAACGTTCCCGCTGCTTGGGGGAGAGTTGCCGGCATCCCGAAGCCTGCGCGCGCTGATCTCTGCGCGTCCAGGCTTCGCGGATCTCTCCCCAAGCAGCGGGAACGTTCCCGCTGCTTGGGGAGAGTTGCCGGCATCCCGAAGCCTGCGCGCGCTGATCTCTGCGTGTCCAGGCTTCGCGGATCTCTCCACAAGCAGCGGGAACGTTCCCGCTGCTTGGGGAGAGTTGCCGGCATCCCGAAGCCTGCAAGCGCTGATCTCAGCGCGTCCAGGCTTCGCGGATCTCTCCACAAGCAGCGGGAACGTTCCCGCTGCTGGCGGAGAGTTGCCGGCATGCCGAAGCCTGTGCGCGCTGACATCAGCGCGCCCAGGCTTCGCAGACCTCTCCTGCCTTCAAAAGCCGTCCGGGATAGCGGGAAGCGCTTCCCTGCTATCCCGGACTGCTTTTAAAATGCTGGCGCTGGGGAGCAAAGCCTTTCGGCCCCCGCCAGGCTTCCTGGACCTCTTCTGAAGGCCGGGGGGGGGAAGGCTTTGCTCCCCACCGCTAGCATTTAAAAGAGGTCCCCGGAGATTTCCCTATGGGCTTTCGTCTTGCGAAGCAAGCCCATAGGGAAATTCGTTTTGCGAAGCGCCTCCAAAACAGAAAACCCTTTCGTCTAGCGGGTTTTCCGTCTTGCGAGGCGTTCGTCTTGCGGGGTACCACTGTACGGGCAGCCGTTTATCTTGATGACTGACCACAACCGTTGCTTGGTTTGTTTGCCCCTGAAAAGCAGACGCCCCAAGTGCTGTCTCCTCACGTCCTCAGGTGGTCAATTTTCCTTGCCAGCTACCAGTATGCACTGATTCACCACCCTGGGAAGGCGATGGGCCACGTGGATGCCCTCAGTAGGCTAGCACTACCGGAAACAGGCCCTGACCCAGTGCCCGTGCAAGAGGTTATGAGCCTGGAGCTGCTTCCCGACTGCCCCATTCAGGCACAAGAAGTTGCACACCATTCCAAGAAAAATAAGGCTATCTGGCCTGGGGCGGGGCCTGAAGCCTCACAAGGACTGCTTGCTGCTTGCTGCCTGCTACCCAGGAGGACTCCCCTGTGTGAGTGCCTGAGGGCCCTGCTCTTGCCACTTACCATCTGGCCTGGGGCGGGGCCTGAAGCCTCACAAGGACTGCTTGCTGCTTGCTGCCTGCTGCCCAGGAGGACTCCCCTGTGTGAGTGCCTGAGGGCCCTGCTCTTGCCACTTACCATCTGGCCTGGGGCGGGGCCTGAAGCCTCACAAGGACTGCTTGCTGCTTGCTGCCTGCTGCCCAGGAGGACTCCCCTGTGTGAGTGCCTGAGGGCCCTGCTCTTGCCACTTACCATCTGGCCTGGGGCGGGGCCTGAAGCCTCACAAGGACTGCTTGCTGCTTGCTGCCTGCTGCCCAGGAGGACTCCCCTGTGTGAGTGCCTGAGGGCCCTGCTCTTGCCACTTACCATCTGGCCTGGGGCGGGGCCTGAAGCCTCACAAGGACTGCTTGCTGCTTGCTGCCTGCTGCCCAGGAGGACTCCCCTGTGTGAGTGCCTGAGGGCCCTGCTCTTGCCACTTACCATCTGGCCCAGGGCGGGGCCTGAAGCCTCACAAGGACTGCTTGCTGCTTGCTGCCTGCTGCCCAGGAGGACTCCCCTGTGTGAGTGCCTGAGGGCCCTGCTCTTGCCACTTACCATCTGGCCCAGGGCGGGGCCTGACAGGCCTCACTAGGACAGTTGCTGTTACTGCTAGAGGGGCACAGAGTGTTTTTAAAATTTTCTTTTGAATTTTTTGTATGTGGGGGGTGGGGGTGGGGTGGATGTTTGGTTGGGCTTGGGGAATTTTTTTGATTTTGTTGTTTTTGTAATTTTTACAGTTTTTTGTTTGTATTGCTTTATTGGTTTTGTTTGTTTGTTTAAGGTGTTATTTTGTTCTTAAGGGGAGGGGTTAGGGCTGCCGGGGAGTGGGCCCCAGCCCACAAAATGGCTGGGGCATGTTCCACAGGGGGGGATGCACTGGGACAACCGATCTCACTGATCACGGGTAGGAGGAGGAGTTACGCTAAGACTAGACCAGGTCATTACAGAGGGGGCAGGTTTAGTCGTTGTCTGAGGACTATTCCTGCCTCTGGGTCCGGTCCTGACCGGATGGATACTAGAATCAGCAAGGGATACCCACATGACCTGAAGGTGCTGCTGTGCAATGCCAGGTCAATGATTCATAAGACCACTGCCATCCATGACTTGATCATGGATGGAGGACTTGACCTGGCATGTGTAACAGAGACTTGGTTGGATGAAGCAGATGGGCCTGTCCTTGCCACTGCTTGTCCACCAGGTTTCTCTTACGCACAGCAACCCAGGTCATGTGGGCGGGGAGGGGGGGTTGCAGTGATTTTTAGGAAGTCATTAGTTTGCACCAGGCACCCAACTTGACTAGACAGGACTCTAGCACTCTCCCACCCCGGCCCTGCTCCCACAGTGGAGTCTACTTCTTCCCTAATCTGAGCGATTTTATCTGCAAAAAACTTTGCAAAATCATTGCAGGAGAACATGTGGCCCGTACTGGGCCCCGATGTTGCAGGTGGTTCCACTAAATTGTGAACCACCTGAAAAAGTCTCCTGCTGCTGTTTTCTGCAGATGCAATAGAGGTGGTGAAGAAATTCTTATTTGCCGTCACTATCGCCACTTGGTAGGCCCGACGTTGAGAGCCAGTATGGTGTAGTGGTTAAGAGCGGTAGTCTCATTATCTGGGGAACCCGGTTCGCGTCTCCGCTCCTCCACATGCAGCTGCTGGGTGACCTTGGGCCAGTCACACTTCTTTGAAGTCTCTCAGCCCCATTCACCTCACAGAGTGTTTGTTGTGGGGGAGGAAGGGAAAGGAGAATGTTAGCCGCTTTGAGACTCCTTAAAGGGAGTGAAAGGCGGGATATCAAATCCAAACTCTTCTTCTTCTTCTTCTTCTTCTAACCTGTGTCCAGTCAGATTCGGAATGAGTTATCTGCCACCGGCGCTCTAGCCGTCTCAACGATTGTTTCATTGCCCTCAGATCTGTGGAAAACCACGGGGAAAGAAAGCAGCAAAGAACTAAAGAGAGACATGAGCAGAACCAGAGATAGTGATGGATGGCTCAGATTTTTCCTGGTCTGTATCATCATTAAGAAGTCTGTTCTGTCCTGTTTCTGCTTTGAATGTTTGGTTTTGACTCAATCTGCACAAAATAGATATTTAAATACTTATTTTGAATGCTTTCCTACAAAGTATGCATTTTTAAATGTGTTGTAAAAACATAAATTTTGGCATGGTTTCTGAGAGGAGAAAACTACACCGCAAAAATTGGAGACATGTGACATTCAAAGGATAATTATGTTTAGATCCAGACATTAGACTAAGAGAAGTACATATGGTTCTGGTAGGTTCACATCAGAATTTCCTAAGATCACATTCTCAAACATTCCTAGCCAGAGATAAGGGGATGGAGCACACATTAAGAGCCATACTAGACAAGATTATGGATTTAAAGGCAAGGGACATCAGCACAAGGGAAGAACATTCACACACACAAACCATTTTCCTAAAGAAAACCAGCTCCTCTAGCAGGGCTGTGTACCCCATTAGCAAAAACCTATACATATACAACTTACCCTAGTTTGGCCCTCAAAACCCATGTAAACAAATTAATTCACAACTAAGTACATTGGATGAAGAAGTGGATGAAACTAATGGGAACACTTTTATCATCAGTTTCATTTTTTCATTCCATGGAATTATTATTATTATTATTATTATTATTATTACCCCACCCATCTGGGCGGCTAATAGCATATATAAGAAATTGAAAAACATCAGACATCTTGACAACTGAAGGGAGGGTACTCCACATTCTGTATTAGTTGTAGCTTCTAAGTCACCTTCAAAGGTAGCCCCCTGTAGAGTGCATTGCAGTAGTCCAAGAGGAATTAATTTCTGTAGGAAAACTATACATTATCTCAAATGTGCTCCCTCATATTCTTGTCTCTTTTATTATTTACTGCTTCTCCATCATGTGGTTTGATTATTGTTGCATAAACATGTTGACCTGCAAGTCACACTAGACAAAGAACTTGGAAGTGCAAGAACATCTGCTTTCCTAGAGGCCTCTGTTCCACCCAAGGGCAGAAGTGCTTTGGGGATTCTGACAGGGCAACAAAGCACACCTGGTCTGTTATTTGATAAACAGCTTTTATTAATATGATGGAGTAACAAAGAGCAAAGCCAAGCAAAGGCAGACAGGTTGTGTCCCTTTCTTGGGTGCTGGGGACCCCTCTGAACAACAATGGACATGACTTCTAGCACCTGGCTGGCTAACAGAGATGTTCTTGGGACTTCTGTATTATTACAGTTACATAAATCACACATCAGCGGCCTTGACAATGTTGATGTTGATGCAAGGTTGAAGGAGCAATTTGTATATGTGAAGCAGCCAGCACAGATAACTCTGAGACTATTGGGTACTCCCAGCAGGTGTCAATAGAGGACCCTGCTAAGGCTTATCTGAAGATTAGAATTGTCATACATCCTCTCCCACATCCTCTCCCACATGCTCTGCTACAAAACTCCCGTCTGTCAGTTTTCCTCTCACAGCCTCGGCCAGAACAGAGCTCAACTGCTCAACTTCCAATGACTCTTAGAAAACCAACATAAAGTCAGATTTGAATTCAAACACAGCACACAGATCTCCCCTTCCAGTCACCCCCACCCTGATTAAATCCCTAACCTTATGGCACTCTTCATTTCCTGAATCTTGTTTGAGAGCAAACTTTGAAGTCCCTCCACATGAAACAGGAGTCTAAGAGGAGAGGTAGCTGTGATGGAGAGATTATCTTCCAAGATAAATGGGAAAGAAGAGAAGCAAAAGTGTTCGCCTTCATCACACTGTAAGACTCGGCCTTAAGATTCTGTGCTGCCTGAAGTGAAGGGATTTATTATTCTCCCCATTCTTCATTTGAAATAGGGCAATAATTATTGGGGTCATTGAAGTCTTTTACATGCATTTGGTTGCTTATAATCATGTTAATTTGGCATGGAGAAAGAGGGGGCAGGAAGAGGTCAGCTGTCTCCCCAGATGGTGTTCCTGCTGTGTTTAAGTGGATTTCTTTTGAGTTGAACTTGAGGCACCATTGGCTGCTCAACTGTGTCTACTAGATCCACAAGCACATGACAAGTGTGCTTCCCATGGTGAACAGTGAGAAGAGGAGGTTCCCAGTTACTGTCTGCACCATTCTGCGGGGTAGGTATCTTTCTGAAGTTGATTGATTGTTTGGCGTGACCCCAGCTAATTGATTTACGATCCACAATTAGCTTTAGCTCTTTACTGCCGTCCGGCGCGCTTCCCTCAGCTGCGCCACTTAGCTCCGTCGTCCAGTCACGCCCAGCAGAGTTGAACACAGCGGGAAAGCTATCACGTCCTTTGACAAACACACACAGTACAGGTTTGTCTATTTACAGTTGTTTATTCCAACATTTCTCCGGAAAACCCAGGACTACTTGCAGCCATGACAAAACTGCTTCCTTTCCCTCTCACAGCACAGAGAGGAACAGAACGAAACTCCTCCCAGCTTCGAAAACTGACGTCAGAATGGTGTGGCATCATGGGAACAATTTAACTTGTTAAGTTCCAAACTCCACAATCTTTCCCTTTGCCCTGCTCAGATTTATGGTCATGCAGGTTAGAGTCCCTTTCCTAAGTGAGACCCTTATTCTGAGTATGATCTCATGCCTCAGCCCAGTATACCTGAAGGAGCGTCTCCACCCCCATCATTCTGCCCAGACACTGAGGTCCAGCTCTGAGGGCCTTCTGGTGGTCCCTCCCTGTGAGAAGTCAAGTTACAGGGAACCAGGCAGAGGGCCTTCTCAGTAGTGGCACCTGCCCTGTGGAACGCCCTCCCACCAGATGTCAAAGAGAAGAACAACTACCAGACTTTTAGAAGACTTCTGAAGGCAGCCTGTGCTGGTCCCGGGGGAAGGTTACTGTTAACGTAGTCAAAGTTCAGTCCTGAGTCACTAGCCTGCTAATAGTCCACAAGGTGCGAGGCGAGGTCCGAAACAGGGAGCCGGGCGGGGACAGGAACACTCGAAGATCAGAAGCAGGGAGCCGGGCGGGGAACAGGAACGCTGGAAGGTCAGAAGCAGGAAGCCGGGCAGGGAACACGAACACTGGAGGAACAGGACTGGATGCTGGCCGAAACAGCTCTTCAATCACGACGTTGCTCCCGCAACCTGGGACCGGGCTGACTGGCCTTTATCTTCTCTAAGGCCAGGGGCGGTCCCGGCCCCCAGAAGCCCCGCCTCTCCTGGCCTTAAGGCGAGCACTCCTCCTGGGAGAAACCAGTTCCCTTCGCCTCTCTGCCCTAAGCCTCTGCAGTTCAGGAGAGGCCGAAGGGTTACTGGGTCCCAGGGGAAGCTCACCTGTAGACACTGAGTCCTCAAGCACCTCTGGGGCCAGAATGGATTCACCTGGTGCCTGCTCCTGAGGATCTGGCACAGGTGCAGGCTCCTCAGAATCTAGGCCTTGCCCCAGTTCAGCCGGCCCTGGAGGCGGGGACTCCTGTGCCGGCTGGGATTCCTCCGGTTCGCTCTCAGAATCAGAATCCCAGGCCATCACACCATCCCCCCTCCCAGCCCCCCCCTCCATCGAGGGTCTGGACCCGGCTTGCTGGGATACGCCGCATGGAAATCTCGGAGGCAGGCAGGCGCGTGAACGTTGGCTGCTGGTTCCCAGGAACGGTCCTCCGGTCCATACCCCTTCCAGTCTATGAGGTACTGCAGCTTCCCCTTGCGGAATCGAGAGTCCAGAATGCATTCAACCTCGTACTCAGGTTCCCCCCGAACTATAACTGGCCGTGGTCTGGGACGGTTTGGGTGGAACTCGTCGGGTGGGGCCACTGGACTCAGAAGGGACCTGTGGAAGACCGGGTGAACCTTCAGAGTTGCAGGCAACTGGAGACGGAATGCTACAGGTGAGACCTGGTCCACGATAGGAAACGGGCCGACGAAACGGACATCCAGCTTCCGCGAAGGTCGAGAGGGGTGGAGGTGGCGAGTGGAGAGCCATACCAGGTCACCGACGTGGAGTTCCGGCCCCACCTGGCGGTGGCGGTCGGCCTGGGCCTTGTACGCCTCCTTGGCCTGACACAGTTGTTCCATCAAGAGCTGTTGCTGGGACTGGAGCTCCTGAAGCCACTCCGTCACCGCAGGAACCGCGGATGCTGGCAGCACATCCGGAAACAGCCGTGGATGATACCCATAACTGGCCTGGAACGGGGTCTGCTGGGTGGACGCATTCACCGCGTTGTTGTAGGCGAACTCCGCCAATGCTAGGTGGTCGACCCAGTCATCCTGCTGGTAGCTGCAGTAACACCGAAGGTACTGCTCCAGCACCGCGTTCGCCCGTTCCGTCTGGCCATCGGTCTGTGGGTGGTAGGCTGATGAGAGACAGACCTCCATCCCAAGGGTCTGGTGCAATGCTCGCCAGAACCAGGATGTGAACTGAACGCCCCGGTCGGACACCACACGCTCAGGTAGGCCATGCAGGCGGAAGACATGCTGAAGGTACAGCTGAGCGGTGTCCTTGGCTGTGGGTACAGATGGGCAGGGGGCACAGTGCACCATCTTAGTGAAATGGTCGGAGAAAACTAGAAGGCAGGTACAGCCACGA